TGTTATTAATAATTATTATACCATTGTGATGCTATTTCATAAGTAATAAAATGCTTCTGTCTCTGTAATAAAATCTCTATGAATTAAGCATCATTTTGCTGGGCATTGCAGGATACTCTGGATATTGCAGTCATGGGCAGGCCAAAATATTTTTGCAAGATGGAGCTAAAAGCAGATCTGTTATGGAACTGGTGTGCAGCCTGGCTGTTCCACTTCAGTGCAGTGCTTTTTCCAGTGTATTTCTCACTGTTTCTCAGCACCATCCACAGTTAGTGCAACTCCTTTTCTTCCAGGGTGAGAACTGACTGAGCAAGCCAGCTTGGGTGTCTATGCTGTACTTCATTGAACTGTGTGGATTTACCCTTTGAGCCTGTTTCAAGGCAGGGATTTCAGGCCAGGATGGGATAATCTTAGACAAATGTCCTACCCTACTTGTTATTTTTAGGCATATCTCTCTCCCTCCTTTCTCCCCTTCCTTTCTTGTCATAACATTTTTGAAAGGTCTTCCTTCCTCCTAAGGGTGAATGGAAAAACTCTGAAATCTTAACAATGGTTAGATGTGAGAAACATTTTACACTGAAGTTGTTAGAAATTTCACACCTACTCCTCCTCTACTCAAGATAGCTCATTGCATCATGCTCTGCATTACACGAATTCTTTGAGTACAGATCACTTGGATTTTCCCATTGCTCTTTAATTAAGAATAAGACTTTCTTTCCTCCACACGAGAAGGAAAATTTAAATTCTTCAGATGTTCCTTGAATCATCATTGGAAGGAAGAAGTTTTCTATCAGTCTCTTCAAGGAAAAATATTTATTGAGAGACAGTTTCACTTGCTTTATTAAAATTATAAAATTATTAGAATTGTTATAGTACTGTGAACTACAAGTATATGATTTGCCACTAATGAAAAAGAAGGCTCATTAAAATGCAGCTATTAGAAACTCGAAAATGAGATGGCTTAATACTTATGCTCTTCAGACAGCTTCACAATCACCTTCAGACAGCTCTGTGCAAGACATATGTAACTTTTATGGATAGTTAATACCACATACAGATCAATAATCTAGTCTTTCAAAAACACCTACATGTGTTTTCATGGTTTTTTGTTCAGGGTTTTTTTGATATACAAACTGACCAGACAATGGCAGGTCAGGAGCCTGTGCTCAGACCTCCAGCTTGCGTTCTTTTAATATACTCTGGGCACCACAAACAATTATTTTGTTCAGGATCAGAGAGTCACTGGGGTGCTTAGCCAGTGAGGGTTTTTCACCAGAGATAGCTCCAAATAGCACAGAAGGGAAGAAAATCACGGATGAGTGCTCACCAGTAAGGAGGCAATCCCAACAGTTTCTTTTTAAAATATTAGTGTGGAAGCAGACAGCAAAACCAGCAAAACTGCAATCTGTTTACATGCCTAAGTCCTTGCAAAGAGAAACTACCTCTTCACAGGTTGCACTAAACAGCTTGCTGTTGCCTTTTTCAGTAATTCCCTTAGGTTTGCCACAAAGATACAGTCCCTAGGACTGCACACCTGCAGACCCTCTTCCCCATTAAGGAACTGCTCATGCTGGGTCATCCTGTAAACAAGGATTTGAATGCCATTGCTTGATCAAACTGCACACTACTCTTCTAAGCATGGCCTTAGACTTCTGTCCAAATATGACTTTTGTTCATAAAAATAAAATAAGAATGATAGAACTTATTCTCCATTAGGAAAGTTGAGTGTGACAGGGCTCTGAAAACAGACTTCAAGCTCAAAGGGACAATAAGAGAAGGAATGAAGTTTTTCTGGTCTGGGGTTTCTGGTGCAGGGCTATGGTCTCAGAAGGAAGCTGTGCTACCTAAGGGCAGTCAGATGTGAGAAAGTGAACATCTTGTCTGTGCATACAGAGGGTTTTTCTCTTATGCCATATGCCCTGGTTCTACAAATCTGCTTTTAGGCTAAAGCGTAGGTGTGTCTGCTGAGGAGCAGCTCTTTGAAGAAGCTGTAGGTGTAGCACGTCTGTCATTAATCAGGCTGGAGATCACTCTTCAATCATAGAAAATGAAATGAACATTTAGTCAGTGGGTGAGAAAACAAAGACCCATTTTTCAAGTCTTCTTATCAGATGAACAGACACCTTCTGATTATACAAGATTTTTGTTTACCTTTTACTGATTCTTATATTATTTTACTGATTCTTAATTTATTGGATATTTAAAATCTAGTGTAACAGCGACTCCCATGCACAAAAATATGAACATGCTTAGAAGATATCTTAAAGATAAAAAGGTAAGAATATAAGGAGTAAAACCTCACAATGACAGTTGGAATAGTTAATAACGCTGACAATGAAATATCAGAGTATCACTATAAATTATCACCTATTAAGAATTAATCAGTTATTAAGTGTTACTTTGAGCTCAACTACTATTTTGATGATGATGATCATTCCTGATTTTCTGGTGCAGGAAATTTAACAACCTCATGCATTGTATGCCTTTCCTTAAGACGTATTTATAGCACTGCTGCTCTGAAAGCATCACTGTGAGAGGTTTGGAAACTTGTAAGACCACTTTTTAGATACCAACCAAAAAAATGCATACATACTTAAAATGGATTTGGAACACACTGATCAAAACATATGAAAATAATCATAGAAGAAATCTCTTTAAGACTTCTCTGTTTTACACAAATGTCAAGTCCCCAGGAAATGACTCTGTAACTGGAATAAACACTGAATAGACTTAGACTGAAAGAAAACAATGGCTTAGTAGCTTGTTTCCACAAGATAACACTTCCAGTACACAGAACCTTGTGTAAGGGAAAACTCACAGTCTCAACAGCCTAACTCCACACTAAGGAGAGGAACTTGAGGAGCAACAGATCACAACACCTCCTCCCATGGTAGGAGGTGTAGTTCATTCCCACAGGAACAGAAAATACAGGAATACTACCTTGTCACTCTTTCCCGCGCACAGTACTGCAACATAAATGTAATCTTCTTTTTCCTTTCTCAGTTCTATATGAACAAAATGGAATTTTTTCCTCTCTTTGTCCCTGAATAGATATACAGGTGTCTGTTCCCTGATGCACATCTCCCTGAATGAGGTCTGACATTCCTTCTCTTCCATGCAGATGATCTAATTATTCCCACATGCTGCTGAAAGACGCTGCAGTTTACATGCCATGAGCTGTGTCTCAGAGTGTGTCTCACTGACATCTGTTCTAGCCAGCTCCTGATAGCCAGCACCAGTGTGTGGCATAGGGCAGCACTTAGGGACAACTGACAAGACACAGAAAATACCATCTGCATCACCTTTAAATCTTTAAAGTTAATTCCCAGCATTAAAATCACAGATGCAGTTTCTTCTACTATTTATGAGAAGGCTATGTAGACATATTTCAAAGTATTAAAGGCTAAATGCCTTTAATAAATTTTCAGCCTTTAGTGAGCAATAACTCTTCAGAGCAAATTCACAGAAAGCACATTATGTTTGTATTTTGAATTTCTCAGTCAGAATACTATTCAGTATAAACTATCATCTGCTTACAAGAAAGGAGTAGCTCATAAGATGTAGCATGTCAGATAAATATATTAGGAATAGTGTAAGAGAAAAAAACCCCACATTTTTCCTTATTATCCTTAAAAATATGGGAGTTTTGCAAACATACGCTTATTCAAACCTTAGTTTCAAGTTAGTCATCATAGTGCTTCACTCTTTATATGCTGTGAACCTCCAGTGTCTATGCAGTTGTTTCTAAGGTAACAGATCAAGATGCCTTGTGAAAAAAATGAATCAGATCTTGAATATTCAAGACATTTCCAGTTGCAGAAATGAGAAAAGGGCAGTATCATCTCAACCCAGGGTTCTCAGTGCCTTTTAGACCCCAGACTGATTTGCAGGCAAGATAAATATAATCCACCCTAAGGCTGCAAGTGTGAGAGTACAAGGGTGCATGCAGTTTCAGGCATGTAAAATGCCAGAAGTTTTTTAATCAGGAATTATGGAGGCTGTTCTCAACAGAGACTCGTTGCTTCATTGCAGGGTACACACACACAGAATATAGATGAAGAATGTATTTGGAGGGTTGAGCCTTCATTCCAACCTCTGACAGCTGCAAAGAAATCTTTCTTTCTGTCAGACACACAATGCACAAACCAAAAACACATTAAAAATTAACACGAACCAGCATGTGAAAATAAATGCTCCTTTCTAAAGAGGCCAAATAAGTATTATTCCTATCAAAGGAAACAAATTGATATCTTTCACAGGACTTTCAAAAGGTTATCTGGGTCAATAGTTTTCAATTAATGGAACTATTGGGTTTTGTGAGAGATTTTTGTGATTTGTTTGATTATTTATTTTCTTAAACTAGCTAGAGCTACATTTTGTTTCTTTTACAGGTTATATTGCCTATTATTTTAATCCACATTTCATATAAAAATAAAAACACAAGTAAGGCACATAAAGAGACTATTAATCAAAATATGAAAGGCTTTTAGAAAACTTTTGTTGCTACAAAAAACTCTAAACTCTTTGCTAAACAATATCTGACACACATGTTCACTGCTATACGCACACACTCACTATGTGTGCTAAAATAATCATAAGGTATTCTTCAAATGCATATAATAATGAGATCTAAAATACCAAATTCATAGAAAATTATCTGGCTTGATAAAAACTTTCAGGGCTGTGTCATTTTCCATGTTGTGCAAGGAAAAACTTTCATGTAGTTTGGGGATCAGATAAAAGTCACAGTTATATGACTGGACAGGTCATGACCACTTGTACCTGTTTTGCTGGCTTTACATCTTGTAGTCTGTCTACTGCATTACAAATTATTGCTCACTACAAATGCTTGGAATAAAAACTGTTTTGAATATTTACATAGCTTGTTTGGCAACATATTTCAGTGTCTGCTCTGCATAAAGAAAATATTAACAGGTTTTGGGACTTGTATCATTTAACAATTAACAAACTGAAAGGCAGGTGCATTGATTAGGTCTTACGTTCTTGGAAAGATGTGAAGAGCATCTGGAATCGGCTGTTTCGACTGCCTTCATCTGCCCACATGCGGATTACACCCAGACCTGTCCTCAGCATCACATCATTAGCAACTGTGCTGCAAAACTTCGCCTTCAAATCCTCCACCGAGCTGCTTCCATCATAGACTGCTACAAAATTCCTTTTGCATTCATTGGAATTCTGCATCTCGTAGTCCAAAAATCGCAAATAGATCTAAAAATCAACCAAAAAACAAGGGCAACATGTACAGACATTTGAGAATGACTGAAAAAAACATTAAGCAACTTTGCTCTACATTGCAGAAGAAAGAGTACACAACAATTCCATCAAAATAATTTTTCTGGATCTCATGATCCTTAGGGTACTTCCTTGGAAGGCCATTAATATGCAAACTGAGCACTGTTTCTAATACTTGGTATTTTGTCCTGCATCCAAGTAGAATGTCTCAGAAGATCTAGATATTTCTTTGTTCTTACCCATAATAAAGTCCTAATTTGCAAATACATACTTTTTATTTCATAAAAATGTGCAATGGTTCTTCAAGCTGGAGGACAGATAAGCTAGAAATTTCTTCTTTTACTACTTGGCACAATATTGCTCTATTACATGACTGACATGTGAAATAATAAGGCAAATCATGGTTGCTCTCTCCCTAGAGTCAATGTGTCATCTTATATGTTTCTGCTACACTGATTCAGGAAGTGAGAATCTGAGAGCCAGGCAGAACTCCATCAATAATCTTTTTATGTTTCCTCAACGATCTGGCCACCATCTCAGCTCTTCTAAACAAAGCATTATGGTATACATTTTCATAATTTAACTGGCTTGAAATCAAGCATGTTTTGTGTAAACTCCTAGAAACCTATGTCTCTTGCATACAAGCTAAATTGTCTCATAATGTAATAGATATATTGCCCTTTGCAAAGAACTTTTTAAATCTTCCTAAAAAGAAGCAGGGGTGAGGATAAAAGACTATTATTTGATACAAGTGTAGGGAAAGTGATATTGATATATTACTTGATATTAAAGTTTAGGGAAAACCACAAATTTAAAAAGCAATTGATTATAAAAGCAAACTCAAATATTCCATTCGCAGAGAAGGCAAGTACTATTTTAAACAGCTACATGATACATAATCAAACTGCCAAGGATGCTCCTGAGATTTCAGAATGATATATAAAGGTGAATTAGGGCAGAAATTGTATAAAAAGGCAGCAAGCATACACAACATAGAGTTGTATTCATCTTCACTTGAAAAAAATTACTAAAAATAGAAATCTCACTGTATTAGACATAAAATATACTTATTTGAAAGAAATTTTATGGACTTAAGGTATTTTTATATGCACAGAACAAATGTTTCTTAAGCTCCTCTTAAGCTTTTGCAAAAAGTACACAACCAATGCATCTCATAGTAACAATAAGCCTCATAATTTCACCACATTAATATATTAAAACTCTTATCATTTAAGAATTATGTGCTCTCAAGAAGTCTGCTACAGTTTAATGATAGTTCAGATTTTTAATGTGCCTTTTTAGATATTATATTATTGCATATTTTCATTCCTTGTTATACTTCGCATGTGTCCCTCTGAAAAGAATATTTGTAAAAAACTTTTACTAGCAAATGAAATTAGGTATACAAAAGGCGTGTTTTCTTTCTAACCCGCTATTCTTACGGTGACTTTTACTCATATTCCATAATTTCCATTTTTCAGAAGAGTTAAGAGGAATATATTTCAATTAAAGTGCAGTTAAATTGTACCTTACTTTCACCATGTATCCTGGAGTTTGCATAGTATAAATTAAGGAATCTGCTTGTATTGGTCTCTACAAATGGGAACAACTATCAGAAATATACAAAGACATATTGGGATTGCAATATTTTATATCAAAGTATAGTTTTTATAGTTTCTCCCTTCATTTACTGTTTGTTCAGTAAAATGGTGTAACGATACACACTGCTGTGCTGACAGAGAAAGATCCCATGTGGGGAGATCCCACATGGGGGAGGGAGGTATGGAAAGAGGCAGAGCCATGATACAAATACCCAGCAACTGGTCACATTTGGGACACACCAGAGAGCTGCTTCTGTGTCCCAGACACCAGATCCTCTTTCTCAAGGAAGGGTGGAACAGTCACTGTGCAACCCTGGCACCCAGCCTCTCCTGGGAAATGCTGAGGCAACCCAGAGTACATCTCTGCATAACTTCGGGAATTAAGTGTGTCCCTTGCTTTCTTTTCTCAGATAACTGAAGAAGTCTGCTTCAGATAGGTGTCCCAGTGCCTGCCAGCCTTGTCACAGGCAATGCAATGAAATTTTCCTGCAGGTGATTATACCCAATATTGCATACATGTGAGTGTTTCCCAGGAAGAGAAATGTGTCAGATAGGTGGTTCACAGAGAACAGAGGGCTTGCAACATGCTTGTTAACATCATTACTTTTACTGTCTGTATATGTTTATCATATGTACACAATTTATATTTATTTGCTATATACATATGTATGCATACATATGCATATGTATATATATATATATATATGTGTGTGTGTGTGTGTGTGTGTGTGTGTGTGTGTGTGTCTGATAGACCACAAAGTTATACTGCAATGTACCACATCACATTTTTGTCTCTTCTCCTTTTCAGGAAAGCTCATATGATGGCAGAACAATCATAAAACTATACCTACTGGTGAAAGGCCTTGCACACTTGTTCACATGTTCTCTATTTCTATCCTGCTGCCTTTTATATATGCATTTATATGTACAATTGCATGTGCATACATATAAGCATATGTATTTCTTTTAAAGGGCATCCCATTTCAGTATGGAGATGTATTTTTAATGAGTTTTCAGTCTTACAAGAAATGTGTGCTAATCCTCACTGTGGTTACAAAATATCAGCTCTCCCAGCAATTTTCAGCATTCATCAATTATTCCTGACCTGTTCAAAAACACTGTTCATATAGCAGTACAGGCAAAATCTTATTTCTATGGGCTTATCATTTGACATTCTTTAGTTTCTGGAGGCACACCAGCCTTATAAAATAGTAAAATATTTCTCAGAGTAGCAGTCATAAATACTGAAAGGGAATCAAGAGAATATTAACTCGGCATTTTGTTTTGAGTCTTCCAGTGAAGAGGCCAAAGTCTTCAGTTTTTCCCAAGACTACGTTCTGCTGTCAGTCATACCTGTTCATTCCTCTGTGTGAGAAATTCAGCCGACACCATAACATATATAAACCTGATAGGTAATGGAACCACTAGGAAGAAATATTTGACTTAGAAATCTATGTCTATCCTGTAGAAGAAAGATGTCACTTTCTCCAATGCCATGAAGTCTCATAAATTAAAGAAAATAAGTTACTGATATTCTGAGGTGAGTTGAAGCTCCTTTCTCATAATTGTCTTTGGAGATGACTACTCCCAAAACTTTATATAAAATATTGAAGACTTGGTACAACACTCGCTGAAATCAATGGGTATATTTCAATCTATTTATTTGAATCATACCTTTGGCTTAAGACTGCAGTGCATTTTTAAAATGGGAAACTGATTACACAAACTGACAACCTGATATTGGATTAGATTTTATTTTAAAGAGCTGGAATAATTTAACTGCATCTGCACGTCTCTGCCAACTTGTATGGCTTCACTGCTATATATTTGCCATTGTTCCTGTCATTGGCTGTAAGACCCACACTGACAGAAGAAAATGACTAATAATAAATTGAGTTCCCCAGGGAAAGAATAAAACTGATTATATGACAAACTCTTATTTAATGCAAAATGTTCCCTATACATAGCTTTTTTAAATCAGTGGCAATCGTCTCATTACTTTTGCTGGTATGTGGATGTCACTAAAACAAATGCATCAGAAAGTGAGAGAAAAATTATCAGTATTACTGGGTATTTAATTTACAGAGATCTTAGCCATTACTTCTATCATCAGTGGATAAGAAACTTTGTTCCCCTGAAAGAAAACGAACTAAAGCGGAGGTCACATACTCAAACACCACCATCTGCCTTCATTAAGCATTTTTTCATTGATGCCAATAGGGACTATTGGAATGAACTTTTCCATAGATACTGACACATTATATTATCATAATCGAGGCATTCTTGCTGAAGAGAACATCTTATTTGAAAGAAGAAGCATAACTGCCATATCTTCTTCTTTCACATTTTTTGGCAAAGTATTAATAAAACACTTTTGTCAAGTCATCAACTCCACATTACTTAGGACAGGGGGCTGTTCAAGTATTAGATTAACTAAGTTTTGAGATGTCACTGCAAATGCCAATGTCATTAGCAACAAAACTGATAAAGCCTCACTGCAACTGTGGCACATGTAATTTACACTCAGTCACATAATATTATAAATAATTCTCTTGTCACCTGTAAGTTTTGTATGACACATAAATAATAATCAAAAAAGGAAATTATGGGAAAGTTTTACTATTTATTTTCATTTAAATTTGAAAACAAAAAATCTCTGACTGAACATACCAGGAAAAAAAAAACTCAAAATTATTATAAACTACAAATAATATATCACCCCAGTAAAATAGTCAGATTATAATCTCCTCATAGTGAATCACTGCTGATGAGTTCTGCTTTTTAATCAATCACTGAAGGTTACGGATGACAACATGATTGATCAGGCCAGTCAGGAAAAGCTTCAAACCACATCCCAGCATATCAGACTTAATATATCTGCACAGACACTCAGTCGCCTTAAACCAGACCAAACCAAACAAAAAGCCATTGTTCAGCTGCCAAAAGTAATTTAGACGTAGGATTAAAAACTTCCTCTTCATCCAAGCATAATGTACAGATTTTACATATTCTGCTTCTGGTTTCTGTCAATTCACTTGTAAGCACAGGACTGGGTTAAATTGTCCCATTGTTCAGTGATCAGTTACAGATCCTGCTTTATATTCTACATCTTTTTCAGCTCTGTGTGATTAACAAAGTGCTTTCAAGATGATACCTCCAGTATTTAGGCCTGGGAAACACAATTTTTTGAAAGCAGATTGTGCAGCACTAATTAAACTCCTTCAAGGCAACCAGACACCAAGTACACCAGCCTAAAAAGCATATTACCAATGAGTCTGGAATTTGTCATCTGAAATGGTCTATCCTCTTACTTGGATGCTAATTTTTTCTTTTCAGTCAACATTACTTCAATGCAAAAGTGTTAACAATACATGA